CTGAGTGACCATTTACAGGTTACTTAGTCCTTCTGAGTTTCAACATTCATGTCTTTAAAAGGGGGAGAATGGCAATCCTGGTCCTGTTGAGTTGTTTAGAAAGATAAGTGAGACCAAATATATAAAGCACTTAGCTAAGTCATATAGTAAGTGCTAACGTGATGGTAGGTTTATTTAATGATTACTGTCATTCTGATTGTTAGACACACAATACACATTTGACAAATACTCATATGGCTTATGTGTATGATGATGCATTTTAAGGGGACCTCTTAAAATGTTGGGTTAAGCATTTCTTATATGGCCAATATCATGCTAGGCACTTTCCATGTGTCATCTTAGTACTCTATGGGGCAGATAAGTAACATCCACTTACAGCTGAAGAGGCAGCTGGAGATTTGAGAGATTAAGTGACTGCTCAGTGTCACACAGCCAGTAAGTGTAGGAAGGAGACTTCAAATCCTATATTGATTTCAAAAGCAGAAACTGCCCTGCACTTTACTTCTCCACCATCTCTCCTCCTGGTCTTATAGCCACAATAGCTTTGCAACTTTTGACAGCAAACATTTTACATTGCAACCCAGCCATACTGACATATAAATATAACCTAAACATACATTTCACAAAAGAACACCTAGTGTACTCTGTAGGGCACTTTGATCATTTACACTTTTTTCTTTCACTTTCTATTAAGTCAATCATCTAATATAAAGGAGTGATTTGACCCAAGTGAAAGTCTCTAAGAAGAGGTGGAGTTATTCCTTCACTTAGCAAGCACCTGTAGGTGGAAGACGATAAGGCAGATCTCACACAGGTGCTGCCCAAGGACCCTCACACACCTCCGTCTCATCGGATCCAGCAACAACACTGGGGCTCAGTTATTATCTGTTTCCCAGATAAGAAACCCAGGTGTTTGATAACTTTTGCAGGTACACTCAGCTCCCAGGAAGCAGAGCTGGGTTCCAAATGAAGTCTTTCTTGCACTACTCTGTGCTTGCTACTGCTACTGCTACTACTATGGGCTGCCCATGGCACAGGAACAGGGCTTACACAGCTGAGCCAGACAGAGGGACTTTGAAGGACTTCACATCTCTTTTGAAGGATGTGTTGAAAAATTTCCCTATATGGGGTATAGATTTCTCTTCCTGGCCCCAATTCTTATACTTCTGGATATGCCCTCATAAGGCCACTGTTTTTCAAATGTTTTTAATCATTCTTTTTTCCCCTATAGTCACTGTGTTATTTATTACTGAGCATCTGAAAAAGTGCCTTAAACATTTATTGTCAGCTTCTGTGGGCTGGGAGCTCAGGAGTGGCTTTCCTGTGTGGTTCTGGCTTTGGGGTCTCAAATGAAAGTTGTATGTCTTTGTGAGAGCAGTGTCTTTTCAGGTCCTCTGCCCATTTTTAAAGTGGACTGTTTGTTTTTGTTGTTGAATTGTGCAGGTTCTTCATATATTTTGGATATTAGCTCCTTATATGAGGTATTGTTTGCAAATATCTTCTCCTATTCATTTGGTTATTTTGTTGTGTTGATGTTATCTTTTGATGTACAGAAGCTTTGTAGTTTGATGTAGTCCCACTCATTTATTTTTGCTTTTACTTGCTTTGCATTTAAGTCAAATTAAAAAAATCCACTCTGAGGCCATTGTCCACAAGTTTAGTACCTATGTGTTTTTCCATATATTTTATTGTTTTAAGTCTTATAGTTAAGTCTTTATCGTACTAAGTGAAATACCATATTTTTCAGACCATAAGACACATCTAGGTTTTAGAGGAGGAGAATAGGAAAAACTTTTTTGAAGCAAAAATTATGTGGTGAAATATTTAATAACATAAGTAACCAATGTAAATGTAAACAGAACTCAACAGCAGCATTAACAACCATTATTACTCCCAAATTTGGGGCAGAGATGGGGTTGGGGGCAGGGTGTATCTTATAGTCCGAAAAATACAGTAAGTAGACAAAAACTGAATGATTTCAGTCACATAGGTTATAAAAAATAGGAAGCAACAGGGACTTCCAGCCAAGATAGAGGTGTAGGTCAAAACACTGTGCCTCCTCACACAACCAAGTTTAAAGACAATGAAGTTTTAGTAACAAAACACATCTAAAACACAGAAAATTGAACTGTATGGAAGTCCAACAACAACGAACTATTCAGCCAGACTGGTAAGAGGGGTAGATTCGGCAGCTGGTGGACCAGGGTCCTGGCAAAAAAAAACAGTGGCTGCTGGACTGTCCCAGGAGTGCAGGTGGTAGTTGGAAGATCCCAGGTGTGGGGTAGCAATGGGCAGACCCAGTGAGGGCGCAAGGTGGCTGGCTGACCATGATCACACATTCACGTGTAGATAAACCAGGCAAAGGAGCGAGCAGTGAGACAGACTGCACAGGGTAGGGCCCCAGCAATGGGAATTAAAGCCTAAAAGCAATTGGAAAAACTTTTGGGGTGAAGGTGCCCGGAGAAGCTCTCTTGCTCACAGAGAGTCTGTTGGAGAAACCCACAGGGTTCTAGAGGGTGCCCAGGAGCCAGCACCAGGGAGGCCCTGTTTGCTTGCGGGAAGCAGCAGAAGGGACCGAAGTCTGAGAGAGAGCAGAACAAATGCCATTGCTGCTCTCTGACCCCGCCCCCACATACAGCATCACAAACCAGCAACCTGGGTGGCCCCACCCTGGAGAACACCTAAGGCTCCGCCCCTCATACATAACAGATCAAAACATTATGGCTCAAGAAGAACAGCTCAAAGCCCCAGAGCCCACTCTTCTAAGCGACCAAGAGATAGCCAACCTATCAGATGCACAGTTCAAAACACTGGTGATCAGGATGCTCACAGAACTGATTGATTTTAGTCACAAATTAGAGGAATAAATGAAGGCTAAACTAATTGAACTGAAGTGAAATGCACAGGAAACCAATAGTGATGGAAAGGAAACTGGGACTCAAATCAAGGGAATGGATCAGAAGGAAGAAAAAAATGTCCAAACAGAAAGGAATGAAGAAACAAGAATTCAAAAAAATGAGGAGAGGCTTAGGAACCTCTAGGACATCTTTAAATGTTCCAACATCTGAATTATAGGGGTACCAGAAAGGGAAGAAGAACAGCAACAAGTGGAAAACTTATTTGAACAAATAATAAAGGAGAACCTCCCCAATCTGGCAAAGGAAAAAGATTTCCAGGAAGTCCAGGAAGCTCAGAGAGTCCCAAAGAAGCTGGACTCAAGAAGGAACATACCAAGGCACATCATAATTACATTAGCCAAGATGAAAATGACGGAAAGAATCCTGGAAGCAGCAAGAGATAAGGGGACAGTCACCTACAAAGGAGTTCCTATCAGACTGTCAGCTGATTTCTCAAAAGAGACCTTATAGGCAAGAAGGGGCTGGAAACAAGTATTCCAAGTCTTGAAATCCAAAGACCTACATCCAAGATTGATCTATCTAACAAAGCTTTCATTTAGAATGGAAGGGCAGATAAAGTGCTTCTCAGATAAGGTCAAATTCAAGGAGTTCATCATCACCGACCCTTTATTATATGAAATGTTAAAGGGACTTATCTAAGAAAAAGAAGATAAAAAAGATGAACAGTGAAAGGACAGCAAACTCACAGTTATTAACAGCCACACCTAAAACAAAAGCAAACTAAGCGAACAGCTGGATCAGGAGCGGAGCCTCAGAAATGGAGATCACATGGAGGGTTAGCAACAGGGGAGTGGGAGGAGGAGAAGGGGGGAGAAGGTACAGAAAATAAGTAGCATAGATGGTAGGTAGAAAATAGACAGGGGGAAGGACAAGAATAGTGTGGGAAATATAAAATTTAAAGAACTTGTGACACATGGACATAAACTAAAGGGGGGAGTGGTGGGGGAGGGGTGTGCAGGGTGGAGGGGAATGAAGGGGGGAAATGGGACCACTGTAATGTCATAATCAATAAAATATATTTAAAAGGAAAAAAATAAATGTTATTGCACACTAATGACAATTTACTTTAGTTATGTAAAAACATGATGGTAAAAAAAGGGAAGCAACAAATGCAAAAACAAAACAAACTCACAGAGACAGAATGATGGTTACCAGAGGGGAAGCGGGTGGAGGGAGAATAAAGAATGTAAAGGGGATCAAATATGTGATGATGGATGGAGACTAGACTATGGGTGGTGAGCACACAATGCAATATATAGATGATGTATTATAGAATTGTACATTGTAACTTATGTAATGTTATTAACCAGTGTCACTTCAGTAAATTTAATTAAAACATTGTAGTCCAGTTGCCAGCTGGGGTGTCAGTCATCTGAAGATCTGGCTGGGGCTGAAGGATGTTTCCAAGTTGGGTCACTCACGTGGCTGGGCGTTAGTGCTGGCTGTTTGCCAGGGAGCCTTTGTTCTCTGCCACATGTACCATTCCACAGTGCTGCCCAAGTGTCCCCACAGCATGGCCCTGCTTTCCTCCAGAGCAAGTTGTTTAAGACAGAGCAAGATGGAAACTGTCATGTCTTTTATGACCCCATGTTAGAAGTCATGTATTATCAATTTTACTGTTTCCTATTGGTTATTAAGTCAGTCCTGCTCCTTGTGGGAAGGGACTGCACAAGGATGTGAATACCAAGAGGTAAAAACATGAGAGGGCATCATGAGGGCATCGGTAGGCCCACCTATTAACCATAATAGGATTTACTTAATATTTTTCACTTTTTGCTAAAATTAGCTTTACACTAAATAATATCCATTAAGTCCCAAAAACTCATGTGCTAATTATATTTTCAGTACAAATGAATATAAACTTCAAGTTATTAATTAAAAAGAAGATTCATGTACCACCTGTGCTTACCTGCAGACTTCCAGTGGCACAAAGGCTGCACATGGGGAAACAATGGGCCCAGTAGCTAGAGGCCTATCATAGAGTCCTGGTGGTTTTAGGCCATAAGTCCCAGCTGTTCTCTGCTCTCCATTTGCAACCTGAGAAATGACAGATGTTGATGTTGTCATGTTGTCTTACTCCAGGACCGCCTATACTTTGTGATGGAATACGTGAATGGAGGTGATCTCATGTACCACATCCAGCAGGTTGGCCGGTTTAAGGAACCTCACGCTGTGTAAGTGAGAACTTTGCTGTGCATTTCTCTTGGGATATGTGGGCAGGTTGTTAGTTTCTTTGGATTTGTAGCTGAATGGGGATCTGAAATATTTGAGGCTGCTTTCTCATAAGAAAGGTATGGCAGGCAGAAAGGCACTCTGCTTGATGTGACATGCTTCTTTCTTCCTGACATCAGCTAAGAACTTGACGTTTGAAAACCATAGCTGTTTCTTCATCTCTAATTCTTGCTCCTGATTCCCAAGGAAAGACCTCTAGCTTCCTTGGAGAACATCATTGTGAGTTTTGTTCATTCATTTGTCAATATGTATTGAGAGCTCACTATGTGCTCAGCCCAAACAGTTTTTTTGAAACTTGCTCAAGATCACAGAGCTAGTGTGAGGCAAATCCAGAATTCTGACCCAAATCTTTGCTCATGTTCTCTCTCCTACACCATGGTCTCTCATGCCCTGACATCAGGGGGTGAGGACCAAGTTGCATTGGGGCTGTGCTCTGTTGCTTCTGGGTGGGGAGACTGATTGGAGTCCATTCTGTCCCCTCCAGTCTACAGGGAAGCCATCTCTTCTTTTTTTAAGTAAATCATTTCCATTGTTATTCTGTTACAGTTCTCTCAATCTTACCCCCTTTGCCCTCCTCCCCCATCACAACCCCCCACTCCCACAATCAATTCCCACACTGTCATCCATGTCCGTGGGTCATTCGTACATGTTCTTTGTCTAGTCTCTTACTCTCCCTTACTCCTCCTTCCACCATTATCCCCCTCCTCTCTCCCTTCAGGTCACTTTCAGTCTGTTCCATGTTTCCATGTCTGTGGTTCTATTTTGTTTATTAGTTTATTTTGTTCATTAGATTCCTGTTATAAGTGAGATCATATGGTATTTGTTTTTCACTGACTGGCTTATTTCACTCAGCATAATACTTTCCAGTTCCATCCATGCTGTTGCAAAAGGTAGGAGTTCTTTCTTTCTGCTGAGTAGTATTCCATTGTGTAAATGTTCTAGTTTTGATCCACTAATTTACTGATGGGTATTTAGGCTGTTTCTAGCACTTGGCTATTGTAAATAGCACTGGTATGAACAAAGGTTTACATAAGTTCTTTTGAATTGGTGATTCAGGATTTTTAGGGTATACTCCCAGCAGCAGAACACAATGTTATCATGTTTCTCCCCCACTGTTGGTGAATAGGAATGTGGCAAGTCCTAGGGTGAGTGATGATAGCTTCACCTAGGGCATTTGCTAAGATCTTATTGTCCCTCAGCAAGTCCCTAGGACTCACCTAGAGCCCCATCCTGTCATTCCAGAAGCTTCTGTTCATTGCAGCCTTACCCCATCCTCCCACCTGTCCCTGAATTCTGGTAGGGTTTGCATTCTCACACATGCACACACAGGCATACACATGCATGCATGCATGCGTGCTCATTCACACACATGTGCACATGCACATGACGTATATTATCAGAGCACATCACATAGTGCCTAAAGCCCTGCCCAGCCTTTGTGGCTTTCTGGTTCCCTCCAAACCTCTTGCTTCCTGGGCCTTCAGCAAGAGATTTTACATCCTGGCTGGGTCATTTATTAGTTGTATAACTTGGCCAAGTTATTTCATGTCACTAAGCCTCAGTTTCCTCATTTAAGGAGCAGGGTCATAATAGTAGGACCCACCTCATAAAATTGTTATTAGGATTATATCAGATAATAACCTAAAATGATGTTAGGTACTTGGCCAGCCTTCAGCAGATGGTAGCTGTTATTACCAAGATATTTTAACCTTGTATAATCTGAAACAATTATTCTCCATCTAGTCCATCATATCCCATGACCTCCTCTCCACTAAATAATTGCTGAATGTCTTATGACCCCAATTTGTTCATAAGGCAGCCTCATAGCTCTCTAAACTCTGCTTATCCATCCACACTCCCCTAGTTTGTTTTATGAGACGGGTGGCTGACCATCCATGGTGGGACATTGATGCCCTCTGCCCAGTTCAATATTATATTGAATTCTGAGAGTTGCCAAGCATATGGTGTCCTTGCATTTCTCCATGGCCTTTTTTTTTTTTAATTTCAGATTTTATGCTGCAGAAATTGCCATCGGCTTATTCTTCTTACAGAGCAAGGGCATCATTTACCGGTATGTGAGCACTTTCCATCTCCTCATCTGCCTTTGCTCCTCCCTTCCCTGCCTCTTTCTTCAACTGCTTTTAAAATTAGACTCTGTGGTGGGGGAGGAATCCTCCAGTGCTAACTTGGGCATGTGTTCTACCAGGCAGCATCGCCCACTGCCCTGGCAGAGTTCAGCTGCTGTGTGTGGTGATAATGCTCCCTATGGACTCTGCCACCAGGGATAGTTTGGAGACTCAAAATGGAGCCCATTTGCTGTGATAGGTGGAGGCTCACCAGTAGGGCCCAGCACTTCTTTCTTTTGCCCAGGGACCCCACATTTGGGGAGCAAGCAAAGAATACCGGCTATCAGAATATGATAGATCATAGTATTATGAAACAAATTGTGTTGTTTTACTGTGTAACCACAATTACAAATGGATTTCCTAGTAGCTTGCCCTGAAAGACAGGATTAAGTTTGGGACTTGGCATTTGCTCATTTTTGGAGGAGCAAGTATATGATCATAGCTGTATGAGTCATACCATTTTATGTTTCATGCAATGTAGACTGTTGAGCCTGAGGCTGCTATTTGTCAGTGAGTCTGGGGTGTGCAATTCTCCTTATACCACATGGATGCAAATAGCATAGAAAGTGCCAGCCTGGGCTGCTTTGCTTTATGAAAGACACAGGCAAGGGCACAGGGCTTCCAAAGGGCACTTGGCACAGGTGGGAGTTTGTTTAAGAGGCCCTGAAGAGCCACAGAAGTCCATTTCATTCATTCATGTGACAAACATTTATCAAAAGCCTACTATGTACTAAGCAGTGTTTCAGGTGGTGGGGGTACCTGTGAGAAAAATAGGCAAAGTTACCTGCCTTTGTAGAACTTGTAGTGGTGGGAGACAGATACGTAAATTAAGATGTAATCTGTCAAGTAGTGATAAGAGCTATGGAGAAACATCAAGCAGTGGGGAGGGTTGGTATGTGCTGGGTGGTGCTGGGTTGCCTGTCATTCTGCAGACAATATGGGATTAGGGTCTGAAGAGTTAGGGTTGCCTCAGAGTCCTGGACCTTTTAAAGCAACTAAAGGATGTGGGACTACAAGGCATAAAGGGATCAGCCCTGGTGGTCTCAAGGCAGGTAAAATGGTAAGTCTGTGGGTACTGGTGGGACAGAGGGATGGAAGGTGGGGTCCTTGCCAGAAGCCTGCAGAGTCCTGGGGCTTTTTTTTCACTCTTTGGAGTGGTAATAAAAAATCTGGTTGAGGAGGGATGATCTCTCATCCTGAAGGCAGAGGCCCCACTCACCTTTACTCCTAATAATGGAGGGTAAAGGTCAGAAGGAAGAGTGGTTTTACCTGGCACATGTCCTAGAAACTGGCCTGGGAGAGCTTGGAGCACTTGGGTTCTCTCAACTAGTTTTTGTCCTCCATTATTCTCCTTGATATAAAAAAATAATTCTGTGAAAAATGTCTCTTCCTGCAAAAGATAAGGGGGCTTACACACATCAGTTTGTGAAGTGCTACTGGATACAGGAAGCCTCTGCAGACACTCTGCCCTTCATTTAGTATTCTGTGGGCCTCTCTTCTCAGATCTGATGCCTCACTATGTCCTCATGAGAAATTTGGCACAGTTGGCTTTGTAGAGAAAGAAAAACACAAAGGTTTGTGCACCCTTCTTGATCTTCCTGCTAAGTCATAAGCTATTGGAGGGGAAGGGCTGCCTTATTTTCACTTCTGTCCCCCAACAACACCTAGCACACTGTTTTGCACAAAATGAGTGGTTGACTTAAAATATATAACATTTATTAAGTCCCTAAATTCTTGTGTTCACAACAGTGACCTAAAACTTGACAACGTGATGCTAGATTCTGAGGGCCACATCAAGATTGCTGATTTTGGCATGTGTAAGGAGAACATCTGGGATGGGGTGACCACCAAGACGTTCTGCGGCACTCCAGACTACATCGCCCCTGAGGTGAGCCAACGGGATCCCAGTGCCCATTGCACCGATGTCCCCTGCTCCCTAGGTGGCTGCAATAAAGCAAAGCTCAGGCTGTCCTCCTCCCATACTCCAGGTCATCCCTTTGAGATCGTGCCTGCAGATTAACTCAGCACACATCCAGAAGCTCAGGACCAAAATACATCAAGGTTTGGGAAAAATTTAAATAAAACTCAAAAGAACCATCCATCACATATCAATAAAATTTTTTGTCAAGCTGCTGTGGCTCATGGCCAGATGATACCTCCTAATTGTGACATTGCAGTGTTTATTAAGAGGAGGGAAAAGAGAAAGAGAGAGGTCCCCTGGGCTGACATATGACACAGGGTATATCCTAAAAGGTATGCAGTAGTTGTACTGAACCCTGGTAGACTCGGAATTTTTCTTCTGGTGATGAAGATACAAATGAAAGGGTAAAGATTTAATTGTAGTAACCCCTCCCTTCCTAAAGGAAATGGTCAGTTGCCAAATGAGTTTCCCCAACACATGGTACAAAAATTTGTGCCAGAGGATAGTTTTCCTTTTTGTCTGAATTGGTGCCCAGATAGGTTACTTTCCGTGAAGTCTGTTACTAGACTTTTTAAAGGAATGGAACCAAGGGTGTAGCACAGACTCTTAGAAATGGACATTCTGGAATTCTTCTTTCATTGACTGTCTTTCACTTGATAGGTAACAATGGTGAAAGGAGACCTAATGTAATTAAATAATTCAGCACAAAATTTAAAACCTGCATTCTCTTGTACCAAAGCAGGTCCTCTTCTGGAACGTAGCTCCTGGAAACACACACACAAACACACACAGGTAGAAGGATGTGTATTCAAAACCCTTTCTTCACTAGAGCACTATTTTTGGCAGAAAACCTCAGTGACTATCAGTAAAGGAATGGTTAGCTCCAATATGCAACATTTCTATTAGGAAATAATATGTGGTCTTTATGAAGTTCAGAGTACATCTGTATGTACTAACTTGAACAATAGCTAGCAGTCAGGGAATGGGCAATAGACGAAACTATTTATAGTATGAAATACTACTGACATTGATTCAAAAGAGTAAGTTATATATATATGTAGGTATGAAAAGATCTTTAAGACATATTGTTAAGAGAAAAAAATCAAGGTCAGACTGATGAATGCAACATGATACCATTTTTGGAAAATTAAACAGTACACGGAACACTGCTATACATTTCCTGTGAGTATGTACATGAGTGTGTAAGAGCATGGAAAATCTGGAAGATTACACGTTTTATAACATTGGCTACCTTTGGGGTTAAAGGCATGGTAAAGGGAAATCTAGCTCAATCTGTATACTCTAAAATTTTCACAATGCAAATGTATTTTTTATTATAATACTGGAGTCATTTAAAAAATCACCCTTTATTTTTATTTATTTTTTTAAAGATTTTATTTATTTATCTTTAGAGGGGAAGGGAAGGAGATAGGGAGAGAAATATCAATGCATGGTTGCCTCTTGTGTGTCCCCTGCTGGGAACTGGCCTGCAACCCAGGCATGTGCCCTGACTGGGAATAGAACCACGATAGTCTGATTCGCAGAATCCAGAATCTCAATCCACTGAGCTACACCAGCCAGGAAAAAAAAAATCACCCTTTAAAATAATTAATTCTTTTTAGGACTCCATGGAATTTTCCTTATGTGGCCTACCCTGGTTTATTATCAGACATGTTTCCTGAAACTGCCTTGAGTTCCATAATCTCTGGCTCTCTTGCTACACTTGACAGTCACCTGAGGAGCTTTTAAAATGTAGGCATCATCCTAGATGGATGGAGTCTGACTCTCTGCAGGGTGGGGCCCAATGTCTGTGGTTTTCAACAGTTACCTGGGGGTTGTGATGCCAGCATGTCCGAGGGGCCCCCTCTCTGGCCCACTGATGGAGTAAGGGGCAGGTTCGGCTTCACCATCAGCTAACCATCACCTCCGGCACCTTCTTTCACGTCTTCAGGTTCTCTTCTCCTTTTGTAACAGGATTAAGTTGTTAGATTCTCAGAAAGATCAGTATGAAGTGAAGTGAAGATACTGATACAGTGAGAGTGTCCTCACAGAAAGGCTTCCTCCTGGTGGTTCATTCTCCTTAGAGGACATTTCTGATCTGAGCAGAACCTCAGGTGGGACATCCCATTTTATAAACAGACCAAGCTTGTGCAGACATATTTACTCAATAAAATAAGCAATAACTGAATTAAAGAACTTTCTAGTAATAGCAAACATTTTGAGGATGTAATATATGAGAGGCCCATATTTTTCTTCCATCCTCACATATCCTGTGACATTATAGATATCATTGTGAACTTTGTTTGGTAGATGAAGAAACTGAAAGTTAAAGAAGTTATGTTTCTTCTTCCGAGGTCACACAGCTGTGAAGTAGCAGTCAGGATCCAAAGTTGGGACTTTGACCTTTTACCTTTGATGTATCACCTCTGAACCCCTTTGATGCATAGTTTTATATCCTACATACTGGAATATGGATGGTCACAGCTACTCTAGATTTTGACATGCCCTATAAATTTGGTCATAAGTATCAAAAATCTGAAAACTGACTTCCAGCCAAGATGGAGGTGTAGGTAGATACAGTTTGCCTCCTCGCAAAACCAAAAGAAGGAAAACCCCAAATTTAAAAACAAAAAACAACCAGAACTGCCAGAAAATTGAACTGTATGGAGGTCCAACAACCAAGGAATTAAAGAAGAAACATTCATTCAGACTCGTAGGAGGGGCAGAGATGGGCAGCCAGCGTGCACAGCAAGGTGGCAACTACAGCACCTGGTGGGTAAAGTGGCAGCTGATGGACTGGGGAGGACAAACCTGCGGCTTGCAGACCAGTCAGTCTCACATTAACCAGGAGGAACAACTGGGGAGCAAGACAGACCACGAAACCCAGGTTTCCAGTGTGCAGAAATAAAGCCTCAAAACCTCTGGCTGTAAAATTCTATGGGGGTTGCAGTGTCAGGAGAAACTCCCAGCCTAAAAGAAGAGTTCATTGGAGACACCCACAGGGTCCTAGAATGTACACAAATGCACCCACCTGGGATTCAGCACCAGAAGGGCCCAATTTGCTTATAGGTAGCGGGGGAAGTGACTGAAAGCCCCCTGGGAGCTGAGCAAATGCCATTGTTCTCTCTGCGACCCCTCTCCCACATATAGCACCACAACAGCAGCAATGGAGGTTGCCCTGCCCTGGTGAATAACTAAGACTATGCCCCTTATAATGTAATAGCTATGAGGAGACAAAGAAATATGGCCCAAATGAAAGAACGGATCAAAGCCCCAGAAAAAACATGACTAAGCGATGAAGAGATAGCCAACCTATCAGATGCACAGTTCAAAACACTGGTCGTCAGGATGCTCACAGAAATGGTTGAATATGGTGTAGTAAAAGAGAGGAAAAAGTGAAGGCTATGCAAGTGAATTAAAGGAAAATGTACAGGGAATAGCTGTGACAGGAAGGAAACTGGAACTCAAATCAATGGTTTGGAGCACAAGGAAGAAACAAACATTCAACCAGAGCAGAATGAAGAAACAAGAATTCAAAAAAATAAAGAGAGGCTTAGTAACCTCCGGGACAACTTTAAATGTTCTAAATCCAAATCATAGGAGTGCCAGAAGGAGAAGAGGAAGAAGAAGATATTGGGAACTTATTTGAGATAATAATGAAGGAGGACTTCCCTAATCTGGGAAAAGAAATAGACTTCCAGGAAATCCAGGAAGCTCAGAGAGTCCCAAAGAAGTTGGAACCAAGGAGGAACACACTAAGGCACATCATAATTATATTAGCCAAAATTAAAGATCAGGAGAGAACCTCAAAAGCAGCAAGAGAAAAGGAGACAATTACCTACAGAGGAGTTCCCATAGACTGTCAGCTGATTTCTTAAAAGAGATCTTGCAGGCAAGAAGGGACTGGAAAGAAGTATTCCAACTCATGAAAGGCAAGGATCCACATCCAAGATTGTTCTATCCAGCAAAGCTCTCATTTAGAATGGAAAGGCAGATAAAGTGTTTCCCAGATAAGGTTAAGTTAAAGGAGTTCATCATCACCAAGCCCTTATTGTATGAAATGTTAAAGGGACTTATCTAAGAAAAATAAGATGATCAAAATTATGAATAGTGAAATAACAAACTCACAACTATCAACAACTGAACCTAAAAAAACCAAACAAACTAAGCAAACAACTAGAACAGGAACAGAATCGCAGAAATGGAGATCTTGTGGAAGGTTGTCAGCAGGGAAGGTTTGGAAGAGAATGGGGGAAAAGGTACAGGGAATAAGAAGCAAAATGGTAGGTACAAAATAGAGGGAGGTTAAGAATAGTACAGGACATGGAGAAGCCAAAAAACTTATATGTATGACTCATGGACATGAACAAAGGGTGAGGAATGCTGGTTGCAGTGGGGAGGGTGCAGGGTAGAGGTGAATAAAGAGGGGGAAATGGGGCAACTGTAATAGCATAATCAATAAAATATACTGAAAGAAAGAAATGTAAAAATAAAGAAAACTGTATATGTCAATTGACCCCCCAATTCTACTTCTAGGTATTTATTTGTTTATCTTGGGGGAAAATGTGTCACTTTATTTGTACACTTAAAAAGTTGCACATGGAAACATGGAATACAGTTCTGTGAAACAGGAAGGCTATCAGGGAAAGGAAGGATGTTGCCTTCCACACTGTCTTCCAGCCTAGGAATTGATCTTCAGAAAATAATTAGTCAAATGTCAAAACGTCTATGGAAGCATTTATATTGTAGCATCAGAGAAATCTAATCAATTGGGAATTGATAAAATAGATTTTGGGTAGTCATTCTGTGGAATGTTATATTAAGGTAAATTTGATTATGTTGACATACGAATATTAACATGAAAATTTTAAGTGAATAAATTTATTCCACAGATTAAAATGTTTATATTTATATGAAACATATACGTATATACAGAGCTTAATATGTGTTAATAGTAAAGAATCTGGAAGAAAATAGATTAAATATTAATCATAATTTTTCTCTTGATTAAGGATTATGGGTGGTTTTAATTGTATTCTCTTATCTATATTTTAAAATAAATAGTAAAATATTAATAAATGCTATTACATTTTTTACTTAATTTTTAAAATTTGGGTAAATAAAAACATAAAATTTATTATCTTAACCATTTCTAAATATACAGTTCTGTAGTGATAAATATATTAACATTGTTTTATAAATGTTATTACTTTCATAATGAGAAACAAAGACAGTTTTTCTTCTTAAAAGGTCACACTCACTGTATTAAAATTAAAAATAATACACCATACTAAGTGACTCCAAAAGACACAGATGTTTTCCCCATCTGCAGGTGCCTATGAAAGGAATATCCATCTTTCTAAGGGTGAAGAAACAGCTCAGGTAGACGCCAGGTTCCCTGTTCTCTGTTTTAGACAGTGGCCTGCGTCTGGCATAGTGACAGTCAATTCAATCTTTCAAAGTAGGCAGGTGACAGGCAGAGGAAGACCTCTCCCTCACCCTGCCCCCGGCAATGGTTACTCTCACTGTGGAGGAGCACCTTCAGTCTTCAGCTGTGAAGGAAACCTGCATGCTTCCCTGATGGACTGCCTTCTGTCTTCCAGATAATTGCTTATCAGCCCTATGGGAAGTCAGTGGACTGGTGGGCATTTGGAGTCCTGCTGTATGAAATGCTGGCTGGTCAGGTAATTGAATTTTAAGTGATTTGTAGGAAAAGTCCTCCCTCCACCCCATCTGTGTGGTTTCTTTAGAAGAAAGTGTCAGCTTGATACCCATTCATAAATCAGAATGTCTCTGACTTCCATGGCCTTGTATCATGACCCCAGCCTATTGGCTGTTTTTCCTCATATTCTTGCTGACAGCCTTGGAGTGCAGCCTCCCTGGGGGCCCCAGGGAGGAAAGCCTGCTGGTTTGAGATGGTTGGGGAGGTTCAGGTAGGAATCTTCCTCCTCACACCCTGTCTTCTGTCCCACAGGCACCCTTTGAAGGGGAGGATGAGGATGAACTCTTCCAGTCCATCATGGAACACAATGTGGCTTATCCTAAGTCCATGTCCAAGGAAGCAGTGGCCATCTGCAAAGGGGTGAGTGAGTTCCTGAGAGCTTTGGGCCAGGACCTCCACAGCCAGGGTGCAGATTGTTCCCTGCACTAGAATGCCCCACCTGGGAGGAACAGAGACCAAGCTCCAACTCCCACCCCACTTGGCAACCCCAAGCCCTGGCTCAGACCTGCCTTCCTGAGGAAACAGCACATTTTCTCATTTGCACAACAGTGCTATAGAGGCCTGCCTGTAACTGCATCTTGCTGTTGGCTGTGATCCAGCGTCTGGCCCAGTGTAGGGAATGCTGCCTGGAATGAATGAGCCAGGAAGCACAGAGATCCAGCAGAAGAGCTGGATCATGTGGGAAGACAAGAGAGGTCTGCAGCATGAATCCACAGTCGTGCCTGGGACTGCTGCATGTGTGTGGTTAATTCTAAGAGCATGTGGCTTTTGTTTGAAGAAAATACACTTTTGAAGGATTCTCTAAATAAGCTGATCCAAATTCAGTCACCCTAACTCTCCACCTGCCCCCTACTCAACACCTAAACAGCAGAGAGAGCGCATACTTGTACACATGTGGCTTATGTAAATCACACTTGTGAAGGAGGCAGGACACCTGTTTTGGGGTAGAGATTGTTTGTTGTGCATCTGGTGGTGCTAGGCCAACATGTGCTCACAGTGACCCGGGTGAGTTCCTGGACATGAGTGGGCCTCACCTTCAGTGCCATTGGGCTGACCTGATGTGCTTTTGTATTTTGCAAAGGGCCCCATGTGGCTTGAAAACTATATGCCTTTAAACATATTATCCAAGTGTGGTAACTTTCCACCTGTGACAAGTGTGAAAGCAACACTATGAGGCCTTGGAGAATAAAGCCCAGAAATGCCACTGTTTTCAAGGCATGTTCTCAAGGTCAGAGTGTGGCTGTGCCTTCTAGTGGCTTCCCACCTGTGTGTCTGAATGAAGCAGACCTGCCAGTCCTAGATCCTGGGGTGTTTGCAGATTCCCCATTGCCCACCCCAACCCTGCTTTTCCTGAGTGACCACTCACAGGTCCCATGTGAGCTGCCCTGGTGACAGAATGCTGGAACACTTGGGTGGTTTGAGCCAGCCTCTCACCACCTTGATAAGTCTAGATACACCTTGTCACACCTGCGCAATGCCCACTCTTAGTGATACACCTAAGCTGGGTGTTTAAGCTGCCTAGATTAATATACAAATATCTCTAGGGATTAGTCTCAATTTCTAACATCTTAAAGTGAATTGGCTAAAAATATTTTCTGTGAAGTTATGAGGCAGGGGCAGAGGATTGAGACCTATAGGTTCATTAGAAGCTTAAGTGAGGCTTGTAGAAAAGAGGGCACAGGATGAGGCTGGTGCAGACCCCTATAGATTTTATGGTAGGGAGGGGCAGGGAGGATGCCACCTACTGATGTTTTAGTTTGTTTAGTGATTGCCAATATTTAAAAATCAGGGATGTCCTGTAAACATTCGGCTTTCCAGTGTCTTAAAAAATGCAATGTTGCCATGGTGAGCCTGACATTCCTGCAAAGCACATCAGCTGAAATGGGAGCCAGTGCCCCCTTTAGATGGAGTGTGCCCTCTCAAATTTGTAAAAATCCCCATGTGACCCAATTTCATCTGGTTTCAAATCCTGATCCCAGCATTATAAGCCCTTTGACACAAGGAAATAGTTTGACCTCATCTGTAGATCAAGGCTAATGATAGAACTACACATAGGGTTCTTGGTGATTAAAGGAGTTCATGTGTGTGAATCACTTAGAATAGAGCCCGGTGCTCTTCCTCCAAACCCTTTAGCTTTGTTGTTACTGTTACTAATTCTGGCACTACTATGCTACATGCCAGACTCCTCTTGGCACTTGAGTTTGCGCCCCAATGATAGGAATTTTGTAAGTGGGGGATTTTGGAGATCAAGAGCCCCTTTGCAAATCTCAACCTTCAGCTTTCTAGGTGCATAGTCTCAATCAAGTTAACTTTGCATCTCTGGGATTTTATTTCTTAGTATTTATTGAACAGAGCTTTTGAAAGTTTTAAATGACGTCACATAAGAGAAAGCTTCTTGAGTGGTGTTGGCACATAGTAAGTGCTCAATACACTCTCAAGACCTTCCCCATCACAACTCTGCCTGGCCTGGACAGCTGGGGATTCTAAGTGGGTCATGGAGGCGAGAGGATTTTCCAGGTCAGCTACATTCAGCTTCAGCTCTAATTATCAGTTTCCCTAATAGAGCAGATTTCTATTAACTCAGGACCCATAACCTTCAGGCTTAACTGGGGTGACTTTTCAACTACTGGGTTTGGGGACCTTTCTGAGTTTAATGGGCTGAGTCCAGTGTGAGTTCTTTCTTCAAGGCTGAGCCTCCAAAGAAGGGGTGATGTGAACGTGAACAGCCAAATGCTTCCTGCTGATCATCAGGCCCCAGGGGATTTGTCTAGGAGGCTATCAGAGATGGGAACTACTGATTAAATCCAGCTGTCTGCAGAGTTTCAGGCACATGGCAGGAGTGCAGGAACTGGACAGAGCCTCCTGTTAGTGTGGGTCATTACTGTAGTGGCTTTTCTGTGCTTGACATCCTCCTACTTAGATGAAAATTAAGCAAGGCTTTTGGATGCAGTCTCAATTCTAATGAAAATGCTCTTTCTGTATCCACTATTATTTTCTATCAAAGAAAAAATCAGTTTATCTTTGCTCAGATTGCCACTCCCACTTTGAACAAACATTGAGAAGACAGAAGCCCAATTTGGCCACACATCTACATGAAAACAAGCAGAGACCGTGTAAGACAGAGCTGCAAAGCATTGGGTCCAAGGCACATCTGTTCAAGTCACAGATCTGTGACTTATCTGTGTGATGTGGACAAATTACTACTTAACTGGACCCAATTTTTTCTGTCTGGAAGATGAGGATAATAGCTGCTAAGACCTCAAAGTGTTGTTTTGATGGTGAAAGTATAATGGGTGGGGCTGGGAAGCCTTTGGCACAGAGCCTTCTCAGTGAATGGAACCATTACTGATACTATTGTTAGTAATAGTACTAGTAGCCATGATTTCAAAGACCTTTCTTTCCTCCATCCTGATCCTAACAAATATCAAAGCTTGGCTCAATTTTCTCACTCTCCATAGGCCCTTCCTGACCAAACCAAGCCACACATATCTCAGGGGAAACCACACATGAAGAATTCTTCCATTTTTCTTAAAAGCCCAAGTTTTGGAGTTAGGCAATGGTGGGATCCAATCTCTACCTTTTACTATCTCTGAGTCCTTGCTAATTGCTCAACCTCTGTGTTAACTGCCTTGTCATTTAAATGGAAAAATGATATATATAACTCATGGGGTTATTGTCAGAATCAGGTAAGATCATGCATGTAAATAAAGAGTTAGCTTAAAATGTTAAGTGCCCAGTTATCTTCCCCCTGAAAGATAAAGCACATATGGCAATTATGTGCATATGGAGATCAGGAGGGTAGTTTCTGATGGAAAATTGTTTTGTAAGCAGGAATCAGTGTAGCTGAATGTCCAGCAGAGCAGGCGTGACTTGCTGGGTTCCTCCCTTTCCCATAACCAGCAAATCCTGGGCAAAATCTACGGGTTCTGACATCACGGCCACTTGGTGTCTGCTCAATTCTGGGAAGCTTTTTGGACTTATATGTTCCAATCATTTTTGTTTTGAGTTTAGATGCCCTTTCATTAGTATTTTTTTCAAATCATTGCTCTTTCATTTTCATGTTGTACATTGGCTGAAGTCGTAAGCTGCTTTGGATTCATTTATAATAGGAAGCCTGTCTGGTTTCATCTTGGAGCTTCTATTCATTTTGTTATTTAGCATTGGCTCAGAGACCCAAAGATGGAAGGTTTTGATAATTAAGTAATTTAAATGGAACACCAAAGAAACCTTAACAGAATGTAGTGTAATGTGTGATGCAAGGGGAATGAGCTGGACTAGGTTTTGACTACTTAATGAGTTTTCAGAAAGTAATTACTTGAAACTTGGGTCCGTCCATTTCAGTAATAGTTTTTTTCTGTTTTGTCATTTTCACAAGGGCTTTACTGAGAAGTGCAAATATTATCTGAATGAATGTGTCCTTTGCCTTGGTTCAACTCCAATTTTCTTGTGGTGGGAGGGCAATTTGAAGATATTGAAACTGTTCTCATTAAGTGCAGCAGTAATTGCATGAAACAAATTCTTAAGCCAAAATTCATCATGTGACATTTCTAACTTGAAGTTCAGAGCTTGATTAAGCTCAGGGATCTTGCTCTGGGATGAGTAGCTGTAGGTGCTATTGTCGGATCCCCCTATTAGAAAGCCCTGGCCAGGAAATTATTGCTAGGATGAAAAGCAAAAAATAAAATTAGTTGGGGTTCTTTTTTTTCCAGTTGTAACTTACATGTAATATTATTCTGTATTAGTTTTACTGGGGACTTTTTAATGTGCTTTCTTCCCTAATTCATTAGAGGAATCACTTCAGTCACTCAAGTGTCCCCTTCTGAAGTTCATGAAATTGAATGTTTCTCTTTCTCTCAAAGCTGATGACCAAACACCCAGGCAAACGTCTGGGTTGTGGACCTGAAGGTGAACGTGACATCAAAGAGCATGCATTCTTCCGGTACATTGATTGGGAGAAACTTGAACGCAAAGAGATCCAGCCTCCATATAAGCCGAAATCTGTAAGTAGGCCGTGCCCTGCCTGCTGGGCACACAGACCCCACATGCTGGTTCCTGATCTGGTCCAGGTGAGCGCACACTCTGCGCTCAGAGGGGCAGGCAGACCTGGCCACTTGGACTGCTCACATGTCTGTACCAAGTCACTGGTAAAAATGGACACTTCCATTCATGCAGTCTAGCCTCTACTCATGTGGGAAAGATGATGAATATTGAGTTTGTCTCATCAATTCAGTTACTGTAACTTTCTTTGCCTGTGGCTTTTTTTGCTGGTGGAGTGGTTCTTTGGTGAGCAGCACTCAAGTCCACATTCAGACAATGAATGGTAAAGAATCTAATTTTGCCTCCGTTTTTCCTTGGTTCAACGGTGTCATTTTCTCTTCATACTAACATTGAAAAGGTCATGTTTTTTATTTCAACAGTATTTAAATTTAATTCTGAAACACACACTGTGTCTTAGTCAGTAAATAAGCGGCTCCCTACTAACGGGAAAGAAAATGAAGCAGAAGCCAAAGTGCTCACAGACCTGCTGGAGGCTCTGCGTGTAGCTATGATGCTGAGGTAACTGTTATAACATAGGAAGGAAAATCTCATATTCCCACCGCTGCCCACACATGAAGGTGTTCTGTCCTCCAAAACTTGGAAGAGAATACTTGTCAGCATCTGAATTCATCAGATCAGTGAATATGCTGGGAGGATATTTCTTCATTAGATAAGCAGAACAGAGAACTGGTGACTTTATTATGGGTTGTAAAACTGCCCACTGAAGCTGAAAAGTAAATCTAAATACTGTCATAGAAGCCTGAAGTTGTAAGAGTCTTGGATGTGAAGAAAATAAGCATGATAGCCATACAAATTTTTATTATTAGTTATTACTATTATTAATTCCTTGGCCACTCTCTATGGGCCACACATTGTAATAAGCAATTCACATGTAGTCCTCACCATGACCTGTTTATAATGGAAGAGGAAAGGGAGGCTAGCAGAACGTGAGTGTTCAGTCCCAATTCACTCAGCCAGTGTGTGATGGAGCCAGGAGTCAGATGGTCAGGACCCCATCAGAGACACGTAGGAATGCCTGAGGCAAAGGACAGGTAGTTTAAGAAAACCTCCCAGGTAATTCTCTCATCTCCCCAGTCCTGCACATCTCAAATGATTAGGAGACAGCCACTCTGTGAGTCCTATTTCTCTCTGGACACTTCCTGGTGCTAGGAAACAGGTCTCTCAGGCAGCCAGTTCCAATGTGTGGTCCTTCTAATTGTTGCATACTTGTATGCTGATATCATATCAGCCTCCCAGAACTGCCATCCTTGGGTCCTGTTAAGTCACCCAGAGCCTCTTTCTCTGTAGATAGAACCTTGAAAATGCTGGTCTTATGCTCCTGATTCTTGTGATTTCCAGGCTCAACACCTCCCCACTCCATACCTGGCAAGCATGTCCCATATGACTTCACCTCTATGTCTCTATTCCCTCCAGGTAATCAGCACCCATGTAAAATACAGACATAGGATTGAGCTCAATATTCCCAATAGTGCCTGACTCTCAGTGAATACAGTGGGTCCAACAAACAGTCTGTTGGTTATTCTAGAGATGGTGAACTTGGATGAGTCAGTTCCCCTCTCTGCTCCTATTTCATTATCTATAATAAAGTGATAGTAATAGTTTCTCCATGAGAGGACCATCTACACATAAAACACTCATCATGTGCCTGGTACAGGAGAATTGGCAATGATTTGTTCGCAGCATGACATATATATCAAGGTCTCATGTGCAGTGTCTTTGAGGGCACAGTGTTGGTCCTGCTGATGCTCTTCCTCAAGAGAATGTTTCTGTGTACACTTGGGGGTTGGAGAGGGGCCTGTGAGTCAAGGGCAATATCATCACTTTTATTAACCCATTTGGAAAAAGAGCAAAAGGCAATCTGGAGAGAAGAATGGGTTGTCCGTTCAGGAAACTCGGAGGTGGGCCCTTCATGAGGTCTCTAAGCATGGATCCTGCCCCTCATTTGGCCAGAGGAAAAATGTAGATGCTTTCATCCCCACCAGCTTTGAACCTTGTGATACTGGGGTTCTGGCTTTGGTGATAGACAGTGGTTTTCATAGTTTGGTCTCCTGCCCAGCAGTGTCAGTCAGCATCCCTGGGGACACTGGAAGCTCTGACGGTGAGGCCCTCCATAGAGTCTGACACACACTCCAGGCTGAGTCACCACTGTGGAGTTCAGTGTGAAATGCTGAGGCACAAGAGGTGAGCAGAGGCCAGAGGAGTGTGGACCTGAGGAAAATCTGTTTAAGAGGAAGACCCTGTTTCTCACCAGTCTGGGTGATAGATTGTGGCTCCCGGGAATAGGTCACAGACTCAGGTGCCTAAAAGGCAAGGCAGGCAATGAAAATGAGGGAGGAGGGAGCAGTGTGGACAGAGGCCACCTGGAGAACTGACAGGCTGTCTAAAAGGTGCAGTGGGTCTTTATTTCCAGCTGAACAGTTGGAAGACTCTGTTGCCCATTATGACCACTGTAATCTTTCTACATCATCCAGGAGAATAACAGCTGGTTTTTCCTGAGCACCCTCTGGGAGACGGCCCCCAGGCTGGCCAGCTTCGCTGTGCAGGGAGGCAGGCACTCCACACTCCATTCTTGTCAAGACTTTTATGTAAATGTATTTTTTATATATTGGCAACAAAGTTTTAAAAATTAGGCATAAAATTCAGGCCAAATAAAACACATACATGAGCTGTGTGTGGCCATGGGCTGTCAGTTTGTAACCTCTGGGGTAGTGATTATTCAACATCAGGATGACGTTCAGCCAATTTCCATTAGTTCTGGTTATTTACAGCCAGAGTCTGTTCTGACTTGTCAAATATTTTGACTATTCCTGCTGAGCAGTAATGACTATAAAAGGTCCAGCCCAGTGTCTGGCTCACCAAAGGTACTTGGGAAAGGTAGCTGTTTTTATGAAGAATAAAGAAGACTATAGTAATTAGTAATGGTCAACAGGATCCTTCAGCTGTTGTGCTTTGGATATGGCTTTCAACTGGTCAGTGTCTTGAATTCCCTGGTATATGTTTAAACAATGGCTTTCAAAGCAGTGACTGGATGGGGCTTATGTAGTTCCAGATGGTCTGCCCTGACTCTAAGGGGAAGCAGGCACTGCCCTTGACATCCTCAGACTGAATTAGAAATAATGATAATGAGTATGCCACCCACTCATTTGAGGCAAAGTGAGCATATACCTTTCACATCACACACACCAACTTGAGAGCCCCCATCTAAGGATTTCACATTTCCTCTTCCCCACAGCTTCTGAAGGGCTCAGGGCCAGTGCTTGTAGAGTCCCATGTGCCTTGTGAGTTATTAAAATGCATGCATGAATCTGTCGGTGTTCCTGATTCACACATGCCGTTAAATAGAATGAGGCAAGAAAAAAAAAATATGGGCAATAACAGAGGAGTATACCCAAACACCGGTAGAGATCATTATTAGTGTAGGCCATTAAAACAATTTTAAATGGGTTTTTAAAGTTGTTCTCATTGCCATCTTTTATAGTGGCAAGGGGCTGTTCACAGAGTGTTGCTCAAAATTACTGGAACACACTAGCTTTGGTATATTGTTTCAGGGCACAGAGTAATCTTTTAAATGTGCATCCAACTGTATCACTCTCTTGCTTCAAGCCCTACCCCCACCAATGGCTCTCTGCTGCCCCCCAAATAATGTCTTTTGTTCCTTAACATATATGGCTCTTGGCAACTTCCAAGGTCCATCCTCTGTTCCTCCCCAACCTGAGCTGATGGTGAGAACCAGCATTTCTGAACTTCTTGCAGCACCTGTCTTCCCTTTCTGGCTTTGTCTATGTGGAACCTTCTCCTGGATGCCCCAAGCCCTTCCCGCCACTCTTTCCTCCTGGTGCCTTGCTTCTTTCCCTCATGAAAGAGCAGAATGTCACCCTCTCAGAGAGGCTCTTGGCCCTGAGCAGTGATCCTGTGCTAGTGTCCTATCAACAAACTCATCACGCGCTCTGTTGTAATTTCTTGTTCAATATCTTGTATGTCTTTCTGATGAGACTAAATGATTATGACAGTTGCCCTGTAGTCTCATCAAAAAGCTTAGCATATAACAGATACTTAATAATTTTTATTGAGTAAATGAATGAATAAACATATGGCTCTATAATAGGATACTACAATGTATTCTGTGAAGGAGTGTAAGGGATTCTGTGGGGACCTTTTCATGCAGGGCTGTCACATGGATGCTGACTGGTGTCTGCCATGGCGCCTCATCATTGTGCAGTATGCACCCATGGGGTGATGGTGAAGGGTCTGATGTATGGCTGCTTGTACTCTGCGTGGAGAGGGCTGTGACTCCTGCCATCTGTCATCGCTCAGGCAAGTGTCACAGGTACCATGATGTAGCCTAGCAGAGCCTCTTAAATATAATGTACACACATGTGTCACTTGGGTATCTGGTTAAAATGTGGATTCTGATTCAGTGGGTCTGGAGTCCAGCCTAAGACTGAGAATTGCCAACACACTCCCAGGTGACAGAATGCTGCTGGCTATGGGCTACGCTTTGTGTGACAGGGGCTGGAATATGGTTCTATGAGGTGGTGCCAGCTGGTGAGTTGGTTGGCAGATCCTGTTGCCACCGGTGCACCATGTTGCATGGTGAAGGCTGTACTGAAGGGATGACAAGCTTTAGTACAGACCTTAGTGCCGGTGAATGTGGATCAGATACATAGCAAGCTGTCTTGGATCAGTGTGGTAGGTGCAAGGTGCTAGTCTGTGTGCTGAAGGGCAGAGTATGTGGCTGAGTGCATTCTGAGGCAATGGGCTGAGAAGTGCATGTTCTGGTTCTGTCCTCTGTGGTGACATTGTCACGTACTCTGAGTCATTCATTCAGAAGGCGTTTATTGAGGTTAGGTGCTGTTCTAGGTAAGGGCAGGGATTTTTACTATTCATAGCAATAAAGACAGTAAAAATCTCTGCCCTCAAAAAACATTTTAGAGGGAGCAGG